TATTTTCATGAGATAACCATTCTTGTAATATTAAGACTCTTCAAATCATGCGTGGGGCCTTATTTTTGAAGATCTAATTACAATGGTGTTAATAACAAAGGCCATGGGGTAATGTATAAAAATCCCCGCTCCCACTCAATTTTTAATCATTCATAATTAGGGTTTTCATTTTATTCAAATACATGATATGATGCATGCAAAACGTCTTGATTTTAATCCAATTAAATTTAGAAAATATTTGGACTTTAAATGATTCACTAATATTTAATTTAAGGCACACTTCAAAAATAATTTACAAAAATAATTTTTCGTTTCCCAATAAGTGCCCTCTAATTAATTAGTAATCAAATCCAATTAATTTTCATAATTTAACTAATATAAATCAAGCCATTTAAATAAATATCATGGATCCAATGCATGAACAATAATAATTAACAATTAATTATTCCATGCATCAGTTAAATAAATAAATGACAAACAGAAACAAATTAAATGGCCAATGAATTTAGCTTTTAACATTTAATTGCTCTAATCACTGCGCGAGGATCTTCCATCAGCTTGCAAACACCCGCAGGAGGTTGATACGCGCTAGGAGAAGCAAAACACTGCTTGGAACGCGATAGGAGGGCCCCACACGCGCTGGCACGCGCTTGGTGGGGCTGTAGCTCAACCCCACGCGCTTATACGCGCTGGGGAAAGGTTTAGGTGCGTGGCACGCGCCTTCACGCGCTGCCACGCGCCGGATAAAAACACAGGCGCGTGGCACGTGCTTCACGCACTGCCACGCGCGTTGACCAAGCAGACCTGCTGGCGCGTGAGGAACACGCGCCAGCTTGATGAAAAATGCTACGTGTACTTCACGCGCTCAATTGGTTGGCGGCGCATTGAGGCTTCATAAGCTGCGTCACACTTGATACCTTCCAGCCTCTGATGAAGATCCAAGGGCTGATGACGCACGCGCATGTGAAGCGCATTGCACCGGATCATCCTCCTAACTTCCGGTGCTGATCTCGCCGTCGATGACTTTCCGGTCACCGGAAAAACGCCGAAATTTCCAAAAAAATCAGAAAAATTCCCAGAAAATTAAATTAAGCCTCAAAAAATTCCAGAAAAATTTCAAAAAATTCGGAAAAATTCCAGAAAATTACTGAAGCATAATTTAACCCTTTTGGACCTTCTTGAAGCTTCATAGCATCCTTTGATGAATATTTCATGGCTTTAAAAATATTTACAACTTGAAATACAATGGGAAAAATAAATTACATCATTGAACTTTCAAACGGCTATATCAAAGCCTTAATTACATTCATCCAAAGATAAAATTACATTAATTTAACCTATAAGCTTCATCCATGGCCCAACCATACATCATCATGTATCAATATATATCAACATATTAAATCATACATCAACATACATCAATAAATAAATATATATGCATATCGAAATTGGATCCATGAATGATGAATTTTGATAAAAACATGATCTCTAGTAATGAATCAAACCATGCTCTGACACCACTCTTGGGAAACGTGCAAGTTTTAAAAACTTTTCGAGGGATTTTGATTAATAGATCTTGATTCATCACATAGAGACAAGTTTTATGCAAAAATAAAAATATGATGTATCATTCAATTAATGGATTGAATACTTACATCAAAGGTCTGAGTAAACCTTTAAAACTTTCCTTTAAAGTGAATGTTCTCACTTATTGTAGATCCCTTAGCAAGATGCCTTCTCCTTGGATCTCCATCTTCTTGGTAATTGTTTTGCCTTTAGGAATCACTCATAAGCCTCCATGAATGACCTTGGAAAACTAGGCTTGTGGGAGCCTCCATTAGATGAGAACATAAACCCTAATTTTCTAGAGAGAGAAAAGTTATTCCTTTTTTCCTCTCATCTAAATCACCCTTAAAATATACATAGACCATGTATATTTATAGGCAACATAAAGGTAAAGAAAAGGAAACAACGAATCCTTCTCAATCTCTAATTTACATGTCTCAAATTTAATATGATTCCAATATCAAGTTGGGCTATGAGTGAGAATCCATTGGGCCTATTATTTTATTGGCTACAATGAATTAATGATTGGCCCGGTCCATGGACCCAATTAAATTAATTCATAAATTAATTTCTACTCCACTAAAAGAAATTAATTGAACTCCAATTAAATAATAAATAACCTCTAAGTCAATATTGCACTTAGACCCCTCTATGCATAATTAGTTATCGGATAAATATAGCCATCAATCTGACTACTTAATTAATATATTTACTTTGATACCTTTGATTATTTCTGGCTCGATCACAATAAAATATTTGTTTGACAAAAATAATAATTTAATAAATAAATATATAATAAATCATTTTGTCTAAAATCATACGAAGGCCTTCGAATTTACTTTGTGATCAACCATAATCAATACAAAATAAATACAAGTAGCAATGATGCAAATATTGAAAATATAACCCTCTAACTATTAATTACATAACTACCCAAAGTGTCGGTCTATGGATCCCGAAGAATCCGCCGAACAAATCAAAGTAATTATTAATTAATAAAAGAGTCTATACTTTTCTCATGCTTAAGAGTCAAATACCATGACGGTGATAGGGAGTAATTGCATACGACGGCTCTCGCAATATATCTCAACCTAACGCGGATCATGTTCAAGTCTTAATTAATTATGAGTACATCCATAATTACCGACTATGAACAATTTATAATTACTATTTATATATCATGCATTGATTGCCATCACATACATATATATAAATATTTCTTGTAATTACATGGACACTATCAATTTCATAGTGAATCGAAATATAATACATTAAATTCACCAATTGTATAAAACATAAATATTTCAGAAACGTCAGGAACATATGTCAATTAATCCAAACAGGAATTTGCTATGCCAAGGCATATAAATCCCAACAGCTATATCTTGAAGCGACAAACTGGACAAATGTTATTGATCTCTAGCCAATGAACAATGCAATCTTCCTGGTAGACATGATGACATGGCATGCGAGTAACTTCCGAACCAACTCGAAACTTGTCCAAACAAATCATACATTCCTCCACGTAGATTACCCTCTCTTTCTCCAAGGCCTGAACCATTGTAATGCACGGCACACACACGAGCAACATGTCTATTAAGAAACAGGGTAGAATGCTACTAAATATATGGTCACTAGTGTCACCGGAGAGAGAGTTGCGAAATATATGGTCACGATCAAGGGTGATTCCGGCCGTGGAGAGGAATTCAGAGAATCAAGGGTGATTCCGGCCGTGGAGAGGAATTCAGAGAAGGGTCAGAGAATCAAGGGTGATTCCGGCCAAGGAGAGGAATTGAGAGAAGGGTGTGTTAGTAGTACTAGAAGTTCAACTTGTGTCGTCAATAGTAGTGATGGCACGACAACCAGAGAGAATGTTACGAAATACATGGTCGCGATTGAGGGTGATTCCGACCGTGGAAAGGAATTGAGAGAAGCACGAGTATGCTCCGTTATCGGACAATAACACATTAGTCGAAATTGGGTATTTTGTTCTTCTCACAGTATCACTTTCTTCTAAAACAAAGCCATGGTGGTTGTACTTGTACCCCTTTTTGTTAACTTGTAATATCAGGCCGAACCAATCAGTCGACGGTGGCAGCAATGTAGGGTCGAGATTAAGAGCAACTTTGCTGAACCACCATAAAGTCTTTACCTTGTACCTGTCCATTAGAATTCTGAGAGAGAGATGACGCTGTGAAGTATTTGGCGTAGTGAAATAGTAAGGCTAGGTGGTCATATATATATATATATATATATACAGGCAAGCGGTTAGGAGGACATTAGCCGCCTTGTACTCTTCAGAATCAACTCAAAAACCTTTAAATCCTACAATTACAAGGTTTTACATAATCCTTAGACTAGCTAACTACCAAATAGTATTATGATAGGAATATCAAATCCTTGCCAAGAAAGTATATATATATATATATATATATATATATATATATATATATATAGCACATCATGGTTTTAAATGGTAGAGCACCGTACGTAGAGAGAGAGAAATTATATATATATATAGAGAGAGAGAGAGAACCTGCAGGGTGGGAGGAATTGGCTAAAGCCATGAGCTTGTGGAGTTTGGAGGGGACAGCGTCAACGGAAGAGGGATGAGGTGGGAGAGGTAGACGACTATGACCTCCATGTGCTGCTGTGTAATTCTTCATCGACCCTTCCCTCCCATCTCTCTCTCGTCTCTACAGACGAAGCAACTGCCAGAGAGTATAAACCCTCACAGTGAGCTTCGTTGGCGGCTTGGAAATTCTTTTACCGAACGGAGGAGATCCTTTTCCCTACTCGATGGAAAACAAGTGGGCATTTTAACGACAATTGGTAATATATATACAGTATATATATTACCATAATTATCGAATAAGTTCTAAAATTATCCACAACAATATATTTTTTGTCAGCCAAAAAAAAAAAAAAATTTGTATGATTCAATTTTTGTATCGAATAAGTTCTAAAAAATTTTTGTTGTTGTTTCTCTGTCCTTATTTTAATTTGCAGAAGAATGGTGTTTCTTATGTAGCAAACTATCTCATTTTTCTAAAAATATCTGCTTAAATTCGAGTTACTGGCCTTGGGACTTTTCCAAATGTTAATTTACTATTTCTCACAATTAGGAAAAATATGATATTTTCATTAGTCCAAAAGGTTACTTACACCAACTAACCTTTCAAAAAAGGGGAAAAAAAAAAAATCAAAACAAAAGTTATACCAACTAAACTAACGGTCAATTGGTACCTTGGAGTTTGTATGCCGATTTGCATTTTCTCCCGAACCCATCCCAAATGTGGTTAAAATAAAAACCAGATTCCACATTCAAAGTCTCAGATCAAAACTTGCATCTAGTTTGCCTTTTACAATCTCCTAAAGACAAATAAAATGGCAATTCATAACTAAGGTGATTTTTAAAGCACAAATCTTTCGCATTTGACCATAATAACTTCTATTCTGAATAACCATTTCAAACTTTCAGCACGCCAGAGTTTTAACAAAGTTCTCAACAATGTCAATTCTCTTTGTTACAAGATATGATTTACATACCAAAAAAAAAAAAAATTAAGATACAAACATTTTTATAAAAATATCTACAGTGTGTATGTCATATTGTCATGAGATCAGCAGACGAGTGTATCACTATTGAATTTTCATTTTCTGTAATATACAAAAAATTGGACAAAATGAACATCGTGAAGGCTATTACTCATCCGAACACAAAGGCGGCAACCTTACGACTCAATCAAATCAAAAACTGCAGAAAACCCTGCAGTAAATCTAATATTTCACCCCGCGTGTTGTATAGAGCTATTCAACTTGCTCTTGTTGTATCAATTTGAATTGTATTAACCTTGCAGAAGACGTTGGTATTACTTCGACAAATCAAAAGTCTATGCCATGAAACTTTCATTTCACTAGGGGGCTGAACCCATCACCTTCCCAACCAAGCTTGAGCATTTGATCTACCACCTTCAAGCTCAACTGCAAGCAATTAGAGGGAAGAAAACAATTAGTTAACCCAAACTTTTCCAATCACAAGGGGTATATAAGATCTAAATGTACAATCAACAATGGCTATTAAGGTCATAATCACAATGCTGTTGGCTTGTCTACAAAGACTAGAAATCCACTCGTTACGTCATTCTATTAAACTAAAGTCTTTTTTGTGCATGTTTTCCTGAATATTTACTAGAATATAAATTTGCTATCAAACATGGTTAAATGGATCAAAAGTAATAGAGGAATGGTTAGCTCAATGGTTTGCTTGCCAAAAATGAGACGGACATTCCCACATTACATTCATTTATGCATAAAACACATTGATGAGATGCTTTAAGTAACAAATGTTACGTTAATGGAAAGTCGGAAACTGCTGCTGCCAATTTTAATGAAATGCCTGAAAGTCTTTGTCATGGGGCCAGAAAGGAATGGCTTATTCGCTGTATCTTCTACAATTTATTTCATGGTACTGCTGGAGCCTCCCCAAATGCAATTGAAATTAGATTTCCTGTTTTTAAATGCAATAAGGAAAGTTTGAACACCATTATTTTCAGCTCCAGGCGCCAAATTACTGTTAACGTAACTACCAATCTTGATCCCATCAATATGTCATTAGCTGGCATCAACTACACAATAATCACACTTAGGGGTGTGCATGAATCAGTTTGCTTTGATTTGGAGGGAAAACTAGAGCCAAACTGATCCTAATGGTTCGGTAAAAGTTGGAACAGAACTGAACCAATGGAACTGCCTAAACCGAACAAATTCGAACTATACACGAACAACTGGGATCTGTCGGTTTTACGGATTAAGCTTATGTGAGAATGTAGTGCAATATTAACTACATTTACCATATGACAAACCTTATTTAATCCAATTTTGTCACATGAATAAATTTTCTCTATTACCTATTCAAGAGTTCATTTCAAGTATCTAATAACATTTAAGAACATAGCAATTATGTAATATGCTTAACATGAAATATAATATAGTATAAATATTTTTACATAACTGAGGGTTAATGTTTGAAAAAGCTATGCACACACACACAGAGTTTAATGTGATGCAAGTTTATGTTAACAAATTCTTTTACCAACTAATCAAATCAAAACAAAAACATACATATGTATTCGTGCGTTTGTATAAATGTCACAGTTTTAGTTTAGATTGGTCTGGTTCTTCTGGCCTCTAAACCATGAAACTGAACCAATCCTAACAGTTTCACTATTTTTAAAACCAGAACATAACCGAACCGAACCGAACCGAACAGTTGAGTCACAGAATCGAACCAAACCACATGGTGTGGATTGGATAGGATCGGATTGACAGTTTGGCCTAATTATTATCGATGCAAATTCCAACAGTATTTCAGACAATTTTGCCCTTACGAGAATCTTTTACCAGTCATAAAACTACATTAAAATATGGACAAAGCAACAGATGGTAGGTTTTGAATAACAAATATGAGACTGGAATTAAAAATCTGAAAAAATAAAATCCTACCAAGCCAGACTGTGGTAATAATCACGATAAAAATATGTCAACTTACAGCAGGATCTGTGAAGATTATCAATTGTTTGTCAACAGTTGACACCAAAAGGTTTGTGTTATCCTTGTTTAGAGCCAGAGCTGTGATATCTCGCCCTTCACCCAGTTTTAATGTATGGAATACCTGAAAATGAAATAACATCAGCTTGTTAGTGAAGCACATTGCTGAGTAGGGTAATAGCAAATGAGCAATTTCCTTAATCACGCAGACTACAGATTATAGGAGCCAATCCAATTCTAGCATTTAGCCAGCATATCTTGTGTTGTTATAACTGCTCTTAACTAACATGAAGATGAAAAGTTATTTTGATGAGGCTGTTTAAATATTTTTCTTCTTCATTTCTGCATACCTTTAGAGAATGAATATCAAGGAAGCAAATGGAAGGTGCTGGAATATCCAATCTGTTGTCTTTATTTGTTTCAACAGATTCTTCATCAAGATATTCAGTCCCTGGCTCTTGTGACTGCAAATGCCTGCTTTTCTCAAAGGCTCCATCATTTTCGGAGCTTGAGTTCAATCCAATCAAAGCGTTCTGTCCATCAACAGAAACCTCCATGCAACTAATGCTACAGGTAAAAGGAAGTTGCGCCCTAGCAATCAGAGTCCCATTCAGAGTAAAGGTGGTGAGAGCATTACATGATTTGTTCCAAGCCATTATGATCCCATCAGATGAAATGCAGACCGAATGTGCCTGCACATCAACCAACCTTCTGATCAAGCGACCACTTCTTATTGAGTGCAGCAAAACATCCGATGAGATGGAACATGAGACAACAATTCCAAGATCTGAACTGACACAACAGCAGACTATTTCCCCTAGATGGCCTCGGAGAACATGTATGGGACCTTCAATACGGCGTCTCCTGCTTTTGTCTGTCAAGATGTTTGCTATAGTATTTCTGCTATTCGAAGTTGGCGTGACTGAGCCAGAGGAAGGCTCTGATATGCTGCTTGCGCGAGAAGTGGATGCCCCATGTATCCTCCAGAGTAGGACTGTTGCATCCCCTGATCCCGTCACAAGGTAATTGCTATCAGGTGATAGAGCCAGGCAAGTCACTGGAGCACAATGTCCTCGGGCTGTTTCCAAGGCTTTTGCTCCATCCGGTGATATCAGCCTGACAGTATTATCCACATGCCCACCTAGTCACATGCCCATAAGTTTTAAGTGAGATGTAAGTTCATGGGCAGAATATGAAAGCAAATACTAAATAATAATAACATAAGCCATCAGAGTTAGCAGGCTAACATGCCAAACATCAGTTGAGACTTTATTCTTTGGAAGACGTCAAAACACCAATTGAATAGTTAACTCCAGCAAGACTCTTCTCTTTATACACACAGGAAATTCATTCCATTTTAATATATGCGTGGTTAGGACAGGAGAAATTAGAGGTAGTATGCCTCAGGAAGAGAGTTTATAGCCAACCACCAGAACACTACAGTTTTTCCATTTATGCTTCATTAACTGGCCACAAATCGAAGACAATACATGGTATACTAAGAGTTTAAAGATAATGAATGTATTATATATTTAGGTGACGACAATGTAACTAATACCTCTGAGAGAAACTGTGTCATCTGAACACTTGAAACAAAGACATGAGCAACTGTACTTATAAAAGAAAAGGAGAAGGCCAAAGAAACAAACTTCTATTCTGAAGGAGTGAATATTTTTTATGAGTAGAAGGAAAATGCGATGATTTTTTCTGGGAAATCCACAACGAAGAATACACAGATTAGCTTCAGTTCTGTAGTTATGAAGTTTGAAAACAATGCAGTTAATGGTTTTCAAGTTTAACAAGAAGAATTAATTAACTTTACATTGCTTTCTTTTTTAGTTCCAAATTTCTCCAATTTAATTTGTGTAACATTTCTTCTGTACATGAATATTTCGAATTCTAGAGCACTCAATAGTCAATTTTCCCCCCTCTTCATTTAAATAGATACAGGTAAATTAGGAAGAGAAAAAAAATAGACACAGGTAGTTTTGCTGAGGGAAAAAGCTTCAGCACCTGTTCATTTACTTTTTCTACCAAATATACATGATACAGTGTTTATGGAAGATTTAAGCATCTATCGGTTCCCTGACAGTTCCCCACGCACATTATTAAATTCTCAACCAGTACAGTAAAAATAAATATAGTACCCCATAATTGATAATAAAGCCTGGTAGTAGTCACTAATCCAACATGCTAGGATGGTCAGGAATCAAGACCGGATTGGTCCAACCTCAGGCTTCTATCAAAATTTTAGAAATTAGTGCAACTATGAATAAACCATTGCCCAGAAGATGGAGAAACAAGGAAGAAAATTTACAATTATGCAAAAATGATTTCAATTTTGATAAGCTATAATCCTATTGGAAATGAAAGGGCACAAGGGACCATGAAATATTTGAGTTCCCATGGCTCCAGACAAAAGGCTTCAAGAATCAAGAAATAACTATTCAGACAAAAAAAAAAAAGAAAAAAAAAAAGGAGTAAACTTCAGTTTAAAAATAAAAAAAGAAAAAGAAAAAGACAGTTCTGAGTGCATCATTCGTCCTTCACATTTGAACATGAAATTTGAATTGGAGGCAAAATTATAAAAAGAAAAGGTAAATAATGTAATAATGTTTCTAATTTTTGATGAGATTCAGTTTGCAAGATTTTTTAGCTTGTTATTGAGGAAGCCTTAGGTAACATATGGTAGCTTCTGCAAAACAAAATGTTGGATTTTTAAGATATTTTTGCCTTCACAGAACTGGAGTATATTTTAAATTTCCATGAAGTGCATGGCCGGCCACCATTTCCCCTTTCACAATGTTTGCCAAATTGCTCATGAATTACTTGCCAAAAGCGGATGGCCAATTTCCATCACCGCTGGCACCTGCTGCAGAGCCCCTGGAACCGCCCCAGATTTTGAATCTAGCGGCATCTGAAAGGCCTCTTTCTCATCGTTAAACAAGGTGTCAAGGCTGACAGAGAATAAGTTTACTGTGTGGGTTTCTTCAGGCATTAGATAATCACCACAAAATAAAAATCATCACTAGAAGTGTAATATTATTTTTCCTTTTCTTTTCTAAGGAAAATTACTCTCCTAATATCTAATCATGTTCCTCAAAGAATAACTGCAACAGAAATAAAGCACTCCATTGTGTCAATTAAAAAACCAAAAAACAGAGAAAAATCAAATTATTGCTATGAAAAAGACTTACCAGTAATAATTTCTTTGTGACATGTGATGGAAACTACAGCTGAGCTTCTGATTCCAGAAGTCGGAAATGCAAGTGCTTGGGGAAAATGCCACTCCTCCGAACCAGAGCCACTTGGCCCTTTGAAGATTCGCATGAATGTTCCACCAGTGGAGGTTCCACTGGGCTTTCCATGTTGGAAAAGAAATGGTGTCCCCTGTCCATCAGGTGTATTAGGCTGCCACCTATGTTGTGCAACATGTGCTGCTGGGGCATTTATATCAACAATCACGAGAGAATCGGAAGATGCATGAATGGCAGCAGCAGGTAGATTGCAACGTTCTGGAAATGGAACAACATATGGTTTGACTTCTTTGGGGTTCCGAAAGATGGTCTGACAAGCAAGAATCAATCTTTTTGTGAGTTATTGTCAACATACAGAATATCTAAATTGAAAGCAACTGAAAAGGGAAAAAGAAAAGGCAGAGGATCTCAACCAGGGAAACAGGGAATTTTTATATACCAAAAACCAACCAAATTAGTTAAGGCAATCCAGAACCCCCTCATCATTTTCTTTGCCACTAACGCTCATGCTACACTACCGCTATCAAGTAAAGCACCACTAAGAATTATATGGACATCTAACATTAATTATCGTTGCCTCCCGTGAGGTTACAGTTATAGCCTGATGTGATATATCCTAAATCCAATATGAATTCATAAGCATCAAAAGCATATAGAAAGATCTAACATCAATCCATACAGGACAGGTTATTTCTACTGGTCAGTGGTCAGAATCAACTTACTCCTACTAACTATGACTACTTTCATCTAAAATTGAATACCTGATTGTAACATTAATCCAATTTCAAGTTAAGGGTCATTGCTTGCTTCAATAATAAAAGTTGAGGCTGCCAAGCGTAAGAACGCAAGTTCTAGTCAAGAGCAAACACTTTGCGCAAAATAATGCCAATGTCAGGCCTGTATCCAATCCATATCTGTCAGCACCCCACAAAAGTGGGACCAAATTGGGGATCGTCTTTTATCCAACCCCGAGTTAAACAAAATTGGCAGAAAAGTTCCCATGTGAGTCATTAAACTATGGTTCACATTTGGCACACTTGCAATTTCATAAAGCCAGTTCATACAGAGTGTTCTTTCTTTGGTCCTAGTTCATTGAAAATGTTTTCTCTGTGACCGTACTCAACTAAAAAAGTATGGCATGGATTTTGAATTTTCAATGATTGATCTAGTGAGTACGATTACCATTCTTAAACCAAGAAGTCTTCCAAAATACACCTCACGCATTACAATTTTTTTTTATAATATTTTAAATATATAACACGCAAAAATTATCATATACAACAATGTTGGTATGTCTGTTGGCACGCCCGTGTACTAGTGTCGATATGCTGCATATGCATAGTGCACAATCCAACATGTGTGCCGTCATTACGGATGCATGTACGTTTATCAAGCATTGGCCTGACTCAATAGAAAAATATTTTTCGGTGGCCCTTATGATGTTTAACATTGCCGTTGCTCTGAGGGTTCATTGTGGCTAATAGGAAGACCTATTCGAATCTACATAACTGGATCTCATTTCTGATATCATTTAAGTAGTTTTTATTTTTTACTGAATGTCAACCATGGGAAGCTACCGAAGCTATGGGCTTAGATTAGGGGTGGCAAATTACGACACGACACGAGTTAAAAGGGTTTGGGTTTAGCATAAACGGGTTTGGGTCATAAAAGGGTCAACACGATTAACCCGTTTACTTAACCGTGTCGGGTTAAGGTTGAGGGTTCAACCCGTGTAACCCGTTTATGACCCATTTAACTCAACATATTATAATCGTGAATATGACCTATGTAATATGTTACCTATTCAAACCCAATTACTATAGATAGTTAAGTCATTTCAACATAAACCTTGTCTATGCCTTATGATTTTTCTTTTTATTTTGAATATTTGGGTTAATTATGACAATTTTTTTCTATTATTTAGTATTTGATTAAATATTAAATGTCTCGTTTTGATAAACAGGTCATTAAACGGGTTAACACGTTTACCTGTTTAATGAGGATTCTTGACACGATTATTAAATGGGTTGGGTTTGGGTTTACCTATTTAGTATAATACCCTTACATCGACACGACACGAACATGACACGAATTGCCACCCCTAGCTTAGATAGAGCAGAAAGGAAAGCAAGATTCGTGAAGCAACCCCGACTAGTTGGGAAAAAGCTTTGCTGGGATTCGTTGAGTTGGGTCAACCTCTGGAAGCTAACATCATCCTTTGATCAGGCACAGAAAGTCCCAGAATATTAGGCAGTTCCCGCGCACAATCAAAGTCTGTTCACTTGTGTTTGTGTGTTGCCGAAATCCAGCTATCAGAAGTATTTTCATAAGCATAAATAATTTGGAAGATATGCTGCACATGTGACGACCAACACTATTATACCTGTTATCTGGTATCAGTACCAGTAACCAATTGCCTGTCATTCCAACAATTACCCCTCTACACTTGGTGAGCTACAAAGAATGCAAACAATCTAATTTAATAATTTTCATGAGCAAACCATATACTTTGATATTAATAACGTGTCCAAGTTAAGATTGATCACTTCATCTCACCCGCTCACTTCTTCAAGGAATCTATTCGAGTATTCTCAATTTTCTTTAACTCACCATATGCTACAACTTGCATTCGGGGCAGAAGAGACTACAGATAATTGATACCTAGTTAACTGCACATATTATGTATGGCACATCTTTCTTGCATGTTCAGCCTTTAACTTAATGATAACACATACTAATATTAAAATTGGAATTGAGGTTAGAAATATACATGCTAATGAGAAGGAAGTACCAATTGAAAATAAAATAGGAGAATACCAACTAAGTAATCTGACCACATTCAAAGGAAGCCCAGTAATTGTAGTAGTGAGGGAAAAGAAAAGGAAAAAGTAACAATACAATTGAGTGCGATAAAGTGAATTGAGAAGCAGAATTTTGGAAAGATGAGTCATTTAACAAAGTCCAAATAGTTGGCATTAGGTTTTGTTGAGTAGAGTTAGAATAATCTATTGTCCCAATATGGTGTTAATAGTTCACATTCATGCTACTGTATTAAGGGAAGCATTAATATGCCATTTATTTTATTAAAGAATTTTAGTATACAGTACCGACAAGTGCAAAATAAAGTGTAAAAATAGGAATACATTTTAAGAATATGATAAAATCACCCAAATACTCCAAGAAGAAAGCCAAAGACGAATTGGAGTCGTAGTGACCATTGAGTTCTCAACGAAATAGAAATTGATGCAGGAGCAGAAATATAGAGGAGTCCAATAGCATTATCTTGCCCAGTATTCAGTAATAATGATCGCATTTCACACTGTAGTGTCTTTAATTAGTCCAGGGTTTTAATTCTTCTATCTTTTAGGGTTTAAGCTCTTATTTTTGTAAAAAAATAAGTTATGACAACATTATAAGAGTTTTTTTTTTTTGATAAGTAATAAACAACATTATAAGAAACATTTGGCCTATTCATTCTTTGATAGTACATTTGGCCTATTCATTCTTTGATAGTATTAGGTTTTCCTCTTTTTTCCCTTTAAGAAACATGTTATTCGACATAGATTGAATTATGTAATTATCACATCCGCACATCGCACCTCCAACTATGTCGATATCAGATCTAAAAGTGGTCCACAACTTCACGTTAGTAAAAGACAACAAAAGTCAGGCATGACCAAACTACAGTTAAAAGTAGTTAGCTAGAGGACTTGCGATCTTATTAAATAGAACAAGAAGGCATTATGGAAATTAAAGGAGGCAATTACAGACCTTCAATCAAAAGAGGTACTTTTGAAGAGGAAACAATTGATAGCAAATCTATTCTTTATTTATCTGGATATAGTTTAGTCGATTAAAATTCAGCTATTAATCTTTCTCAAGCGTTTAATGAATATCCTAAGAATTATTGCTGAGAGATAGTCCACACTTGTTAACGGGGAAGTCCAGCAGGTACTCGATGAATGTCCAAAAAGAGTAGATTCAACTATTGTCAAAATTTCAACCAGGCATAAGGAATGTTCAAATAAGAATGGGACTTCATTGGTTGATAACTTGTTATAACATCGAATCATGCAAAATTGTATTCATCCCATGCGGACACTTAAAGTTCAATCATGTTTGGAATTTTTTTTTATTTTATTTTTGATAAGTAATAATCGATTAGAAAAGCGTTCAAAAGGGGAACGCGTCCCAGATACAAAAGCGAAAAGAGGACCAAAGGACCTATGGAGTCCAAAAGAGCAATAAAATCTACGGATGAGGAGCAAGAGCTTCCTTTCACATTGCAACAAATAGAGCGAAGAATATGAAGTTTTAGAGTCGCCAAGGGCGATTCCTTTCCTTCAAAAATTCTGCTATTCCTCTCTTTCCAAATACACCACCATACGCAATGTGAAACAATCCTCCAATAATCGCGAGCGTGACGTCTGACTTGGCATCCTCTCCACGCATTGATCAGGCATTTGGAAGACTGAGGCATAACCCAATGCATACCAAATAAGCCAAAAATAAGGTTCCAGCAATTGTATGCCACCGGACAGTGCATAAAGATATGATCCACAGACTCACCACCACGTTTGCATAGACAGCACCAATTAACAATAATATTGCCTCTCTTCCGCAGATTGTCCAACGTCAATATGTTACCCCAGACGGCAGTCCAAACGAAGAATGCCGCTCTAAGTGGAGCCTTAGAGCGCCAAATAGTCTTCCATGGAAAGACAGGACCATCGAAGTTGGAAAGGCGCAGAAACATGGACCGGACATTAAATCTTCCATTGGAAGAAGGAATCCACAAGATGTCATCACTGTCTCTGCCGACTGCCTCCTCCTGCTGATACAACAATTCCAGAAAGGCATAGACCTCTTCCATCTCCCAATCCTGAAAAGAACGTCTAAAGCGCACATCCCAGGTAACCCCACTGCTATCAAGCCGATAGCAATCAGCTACATAGGCGTGTCTATCGACGGTAATACTATAAAGTCTGGGAAAGGAGCAAGACAGCAACTAATCTCCGCACCATAAATCCTCCCAAAATCGGATACATTGACCATCGCACGCCTTGAATCTAATATGTGAAGAGAAGACATCCCAGCTCTTTCGGATAAATTTCCACACACCAACACCCCCCACTATATTGACTGGAAGGGAAGACCAGCCACCGCTCCCTTCCCCAAAACGACAAGAAAAAATCCTTCTCCACTGGCGATGACGTTCCTTGCCGAATCTCCACAACCACTTACCCAAAAGAGCTCTGTTGAAGGGAACCAGCTTTCGGATGCCTAAACCTCCAATCTTCATAGGCTTATAGACTTACTCCCAATTAACGAGATGATACTTGAATTCCTCGTTCCTTCCACCCCATAGAAAGTCCCTTTGGATTTTTTCGATCCTTTCAACAACAAAGCATGGAATTTGGAACAAGGATAAGATAAAGTTGGAAGGCTCAATAGAGTGCTCTTAATAAGGGTAACCTTCCCCCCTTTCAACAACTATTGCTTCTTCCACCCTGCCAACCTCTTCTCGAACCTCTCTATGACGGGATCCCAACTCCCCACCCTCCTAGAGGAGACCCCTAAGGGCAATCCCAAATAAGGGATAGGAAAAGCACCCACCCTGAATCCAAGGACTGTAGCAAAAGAGGAAATATCTGGAACATCTCCGACCAGGACACGCACACTTTTGCTTATGTTGATCTTCAGCCCAGAAACCGCCTGGAAGCAAACAAGGATTCACCTCAAATATCTAAGTTGGGTAACATCGGCATCACAAAAAACCAAGGTGTCATCCACAAACAACAAATGGGAGATCTCCATCTGATGGGCTGATTCTCTTCCCACTCTGAACCCACTGATGAAACCCAAATTCTCTGCCCTCCCCATTAGTCTGCTCAAACCTTCTATGACAATGACGAAAAGAAAAGACGACAGCGGATTTCCTTGTCTCAAGCCCCGAGAACTCCCAAAGAAACCAGCAAGAGTACCGTTCACAAGAACAGAGAACTTAACAGACGAAATGCATGTCTCAATCCATTTCCTCCACTTACTTCCAAACCCCATTCTCTGGAGCAAGTAAAGAAGAAAACTCCAATTAACGTGATCATAAGCTTTTTCAATGTCAAGTTTGCATAAGACACCAGGAACCCCACTTTTCAACCTGGAGTCCACACATTCTCCTACTATAAGAACAAAATCCAGAATATGTCGCCCTCCCAGAAAAGTATTATGGGACTCCGAAATGATTCCATCCATAACATCTCTCATCCTAAAAACAAGAACCTTGGCTATAAGCTTGTAGATACATCCCACTAAACTTAATGGCCGAAAGTCCTTAATATTAGAAGCACCGCCCTTCTTAGGAATGAGGGCAATAAAAGAGGCATTAAGAGACTTTTCGAAAGTGCCATGGGAATGGAATTCCTAGAAAGTACCCATCACCTCATTTCTCACCACCTCCCAGCTCTCCATAAGAAACCACATAGTGAACCCGTCTAACCCTGGAGCTTTGTCACCATTGCAACTCAATAGTGCCTTCAACACTTCCTCTTCAGAAAATGGGATCTCAAGACCATCTCTATCCAAATCAGAAATAGCGTCAAAATGGAGGCCTTCAAACCTAGGTCTCCACCCCAACGTCTCAGTGTAAAGCTTCTGATAAAAGGAGACAATCCCCCTACGCACCTCATCCTCTCTCCATAACTCCGAGTCATTCACAGGAATTCGCCCAATATGATTACTCCTTCTATAAGCATTAGTAAGCCTGTGAAAGAATTTCGTGTTACGGTCCCCTTCTTTGAGCCATAAGGCCCGAGATTTTTTACGCCACGAAATTTCCTCCAAATTAGCAATCTCATCAAAAACCACCTGGCAAGAGACTCTCCTAAAACGCAAAGACTCCAAATCCTGTCCCAACTCTTCAAGACGATCAATCTCAGCAAAGTCAGCCAAAACTCTATTTTTCCTCCATTCCAGATTCCCGAACACCTGCTCATTCCACCTTTCAAGATCGGTTTTGAGGGACTAAAGTTTCTTGGCTAAAACAAAACTGAAAGAACCTGTGATCAGCACCTCCTCCCACCAAGACCGGACTCTCCCTTGAAAATCCTCTGATCTCAACCACATATCTATTTTACTTTGGCATACCCGAGGAATCTCTCCTATCGGAATTGCATTTGTTGGGCAGTTGTGTGGCTGCCTTGCCTCACAACTAACGGTGAGACTGATGTTTTCCACACCAAAGATGGTCATGTCTTCAAGGTAGACAGTCACAGCACGCTGTCTCGAGAAGTTCTGAAATCTTGCTTGGTCAGACGATTCGACAAGGATGTAGGGAGTTTAGAAATGATTGAGGAATGGGCAATGAGGACTTGGAAGATTTCTTGCGGGGTGAGGGTATCACCTCTACCAGACGGTCTTCTTCTGTTTAGATTGCCGTCGGAATCAGAGGCACGAAGGGTGTTGAATTTCGGAAACAAGAAGTGGGGAGGCAGCCACCTCACCATTGATATGTGGTATTTTGCAGTTGGTTGTTCAGCGGTGAAGTTAATGAATAGAAGAAGAGTGGTGATTTGGAAATATTTTAGGGAATATGAAACACTTCATACTTCATAGATATGATAGGATTGCCTAGACGAGGTTGCTAAGCATATTTCCTAAAGAATCTTTGTGACATTGTGCGAGGATGATGATGCACTTTCAAACATGATGCATTATTTTCATTTTTGGTCATTGTTTGGGCAACAAATATGGGAAAATAGAAAAATAAAAAATAAAAAATACAGGAATTAGAAAAAGGCATAGAATTACTATATTCTAATTTCTGAGTGATAAGTAAATAATACAAAAAGACTAAAAGAAGCCCTTCTTATTTTCTAGGGGTTTGGCAAACGCATTAGGTATGGTCCATCTTTCACTACAAGCGCTTATGAGACTTGAGAGCCGAAGAAAAAGAAGAAGACGTGCCATTCATCCCGAATTCAACAATTAAAATTTTAATTATTTCCAACTTCCTTAATCAATAACATAAGCTTTAACAAAGTAAAACATGCAGTAGATCAAAATTACTGTTTATTTTTTCAATTGTTTAATATTTCTTCAAGGATCAGATACATGCAAACATCCATATCTTTCAAATAGTGTGCACATCCCTATAGATGCATGGCCCACCCATGTTTAAGACCAGTTCCCAAATCAAAACCACAAGTTGATATGACGTGAACTTGCAAGTAACCAACTAAATTAGTTCTAGAGTCAGACAAGCGTTACCTGATTACAGAATAGTATACTAGCAAGATTTATATAGACTAGGAGTTCAGTGACGGGGGGTGGGAGGGGAGAAAAAGCACACATATACATATGCAAGGGTATTTGAGTAGCTATATGTACCTGCAAGTGAAGTACATCTGCTAGTGGCATCTTCTTCAAGTGAGGGATGGTAAGAAGTTGGGATGGGGTTTGTCCAAAGTAAGCAATCTGGTCTTGTGAAGCACGTCGTTGTACCTTTTTGGAGATATATTGGGAAAATAAGTAATAGCTATCCAAACAGGAAACACCATAAAAAGAAGGAGAGCTGACATACTGGGTCTGAAATTTTGTCAATATCCACTGCTCCCTCATAGGTAATGTAAAAGAAAACATTGTTCGCCAATATAGCTTCTTTTCCTCGTTGTTTATACCTGAATGTTCCAAATCATATGTCTAAATACCAGCTTTAAGAAAATGTGAGAAATCAATGGAGAAAGACAGTTATTTTTCATCCACCCTTAATCCAAACAGAGAAGATGGAAATGAAAAGAGGAAAAAATGTTAAGAAAGAACATAAAAAAGACCTTTAAACAATACAATGCAGCTTACCCAAATATGAGATCAATCCATTCGTGCAAATGTGCAGAAACATGCTCACTCTCAAGAGCCATTCGATGCTTATGAATGAAATCAACAGGATTTTCAGCCCAATTAGGAAGTCTGACAGAATCTAAAATGGTGAATGAACAAAAAATAAAAATCTTTCAACTAGAGTCTTAGAAAAAAAAAAATAATAGCTTTGCATGTGCTACTGGAACAAAGTATTTAAATGTACACACCAAGCTTTTCTCCAAGTTGAGTTGTACCAAAGTCAATTGTGTTTCCATTGGTTAAAATCTCCGGGAGGTAGAACAATTCAGGAACCTAAGATGAATAGAAAAGGAAAAAGAAAAGACACGTCACTTTCCCAAATAATATACACAAATAAATATAGTTATGCAGACAATTGTAGAAGGGGATGGATAGAAGTCACTGATAAGCAATTGAAGACCACTAAGAAACAAGCAACAATGACGAAATAATAAAAAGTACTTTAGCTGTAATGGTCATAAAAATTCATACCAATTCCTTCACATCCACTAAGAAACAAGCTGTAACGACAATTGAACTAATAAAAGTTTTTTAGCTGTAATGGTCATTAAAAATTCATACCAATTCCTTCACATCGCTCATGTCCTCAAGAACTCCATTCCATGTAGAAGGAATATCCGAAAACATTCTGTCTGCATGGTCAAACTTGCCACCTTGTAGTTGAATTGAAAGAGTAGTGAATGGTTCCACCCTAACAAGATAATACAACACCTGTCATAAAGCACAACCAATCATTAGAAGCATTGTTACTGCAGTTAATTATCACAGCTGCACATTGTATCAAAGGTATGTACCCAAATGACAGTAAATGTAATTGATACAAGAAACGAAGAATACTAGGAAGGCATAACAGTGACAAAATGAAGGGAAAATACTCATCTATAAATAATAAAATCACCCAAAAGAGAAGGAGAAAAAGTCAGCACGTGAAATACAGTTCAGACTCATCCAATGAACTCATTCCTCAGGCAACCAACTAACGTTGCTGAATTTCGGCTTGCTCCTCTTATTCAGCAGTATAAAATTGTAATTCAGAAACATTGGAAAGCCAGGAGGTGGTTCATAGTTCATGAGAAGGTAAACACTATAGATATAGCCAGATAAGATAGCAAACTAAAGCTATAGTAATCCTGGGGTTTCACTGTACATGACATTCCCCTACTCATCTATTTGCTCTTTTTCAAGAACGCTGTATTCATATTTGGCTTCCACCATATGTGTATTTTGTAGTATGGACTCCAGCCCTCCATTAGACTAAAAAGAATTGAATATGCAATTACAAAACATTGCAACTTACTATTCCAGGATCACATCAATTGACATAGTTGCATGCAAACATTACTTGAAAAAAAAAAATTTACCGTCACCAAGTTGCCATAATATACGTAATACCTCCTGTTGAATGGACATGGACCTAACATGACAAAGACATGTTGATACAAAGTCTTGATAATATAATATAGTCTATATAGACACGTTCAGACATATGCATGCTTGTATGCATGTACATGCAAATAGGTACATATTTGTACGAAATGTACATTCTTAAGTATAACGACCACTCTCATACTTCCAATCCCACTTCTTCAATATAAGAATTCCTCTATCAACTTCTATTCTTTTATTTATTTATTTTTCATTTTTTATGACGAGGGCATTACCACACTTTTGGGTGGGAATGACCCCCCTACGTAAACCGCAGGCCCAAGCAACATATTGTGTTGTGTTAGTCCAAAAAAGTCAAGTGAGGCTAGCCCCAATAAGGTAAGCTAAACATCAAAAGTTCACCTTCCAAGCATAGTCTTCAAACAACTACTCTATTCTTAATGTAATATTTTGAATAAAGTGTTATTTGCTATTTGCACAATTAACTTTTACTTTTGATAATAAAAGCAAGCCATATGGCACCCTAGTTTAGTCTATCTTATCAAACTCTACAAAGTGTCTTTTAAATTATAGAAATGTCTATCCTAGTGATGGTAATGAATGATGTGTACAAAGTGTCTTTTAAATTTGGAAGTCACTGATTGATGTTAGGGAGATCATACTTGACAATGTGGATTTTCAGATTAATGGCAGGGACACCAGTCTATTTCTGGATCCTTGGATGCAAAGTATATCTCTTATGAGTCTATGGATTTAGAAGACTAGGCCCTTTTAAGAGGGATGACAGTGTCTATGTTCTCTTGGTGGATAATCAATGGTCCATTCCTTTAGCCTGGCCTCTGGAGATTGTGCAGCGTCTACAGAATCTACAACATACTAGTTGTAACAGGTGGACACTTGCCCATTTACCCAAAAGCTTAAGCTATTAAGTAGTGCTGCATACCCATCCATTTATACCAATCACTCTCCCATCCGGATCCGATGTGGGACAAGTCCCCACTTGTAACATTCTCCCCCACCCAAACTCGCAATGCCCTCGTTGCGGTCGGGCCACCCTGCCTACCCAAGTGGCTCACCCGGTCGCCTTCCAGGCCAGGCGCTTGGCATGGCACCGGATCAAAGACTGGGTCTAGTTCTAATACCAACTGTAATGAGAGGGCGCTTCCCCATTTACCCAAAAGCTTAAGCTATTAGGTAGAGCTGCATACCCACCCAATCATACCCAATCACTCTCCCATCCGGATCCGATGTGGGACAAGTCCCCACTTGTAACACTAGTTCACAAGATTGAATCATATGGAAACATGGGAAATTTTCCTTCAAATCTGCATGGAATCAACGTAGAGTGAAATATGACAGAGTGCAGTGGTATCCTTTGGCTTGGAACACGTGCAGGCCTATGATTTCTATGGCTGTGGTTCTGATCTTACAGAATGTGCATCCCTCTTTTGTTAATCTGAAACGAATAGGGATAGCTATGGCCTCGGTATGTATGAATTGCCTTGCAGCAGAAGATGATTGTGGCCATCTTTTCAGGTCTTGTTCACTGGCCAGAACAGTACGGTGTTGTTTGACTGATATAATTCACTGTAACGAACTGCTACAATTGAACAATTTGGACCAAGTCTTGGGGTGGTTTCTGAACTTGCACCAGAATGAGGATGTGAAGACCAAACTTCGTAAATGTGCTTTCTCTATTACTTTAAGGAGTTTGTGGAAGGAGAGATTCTAGATTGCATGGAGGACATCATAGAACTGCTCATCAGATTGCTATAGATATTAGTTTTCAGTGTTGCGAATCCGTAGGTCTTTCCATTACAGACCTAAATTCTCTTTTCTAATGCATAATCTGTTTTCTTGATTTGTTGTTAGCTGGGGTATGCCTGGTTAACTTTTTGGTTTCTTCTTTCTTGCTTTGTTTCATGTGTCTTGAGTCTCAAGACAGTTTCATTGTACCATATTTTCTTGTATCAATAACATACCACATTCAGGAAGAAAAAAAAAATGATATGTACCAGAAACAAACGTTGATACTTTTTCTGTTTTAAAAGATGAAAATCGAACCCTTAAATCACCCCACCCCTCTGTATTAGATGTCATTATAACAATTTTACCACACTGCTACAATCGCTTTGGCATATACATGACTCCATCTTACAAGTTTTCACAATTTTAAGTGTGATAATATATGTGTTCAAGATACAAACAAGAAACATCAACACCTCATGTCTTTGTTCTTATAATTACCTCAAAGGCAGCTAGTATTCTTCAACTTACCATTCAACCTTCAACACTGGGTATGGCACACTTGCAACCAAGGTTCCAAGTAATAGTAATGGTCATCGTAACAGTAACAATCAAGGGATATATGAGGGTTATGTAATGGTAATGACCGCTAGAGATATCATTTCTTTTTACCTCAAACGGCTCAACTGGCTCGTGCTTAAACTGTACCCATACTCGTGATTTAATCCTAATCCCATTAAAATTATTCCAAAATGAATAAAGCGCTCATATTGAAATATCTGAATTACATAAAAACATCAATTTACATTTAGAAATTAAAGAAAAGTATAAATATTTTTTAACACTTGGCCATGTCACCGTGCCCTTGAATTTTGATATTTAATTACTCCGACGTTTAAAAATACTGAAACCATAAACATGTAACGTAATATTTGATGCAAATACTGAAATGGATACAGCTCAATCATTATCAATTCTTCTTCGTTTGCAATATAATAATTACAACACAAAATCATAAAAAGACAACAAAGAGAACAGGCTACAGTTTTCTTTTAAAAAATCAATAACTGAAAGAAAAGGAGTATTAACGGTCACAAATCACAAGTCATAACTTGTAATAATGGCATTGCATTACCGTGACAAAATAACTAAGCACTTGAAATAAAATAAAATAATAGAACTTACTGTTCCAGCAGTAGAATAATGTGAACCATAATGGAATTTGGGGATGACTGGATCATCAAAGCTGGAATATCTCTCTTGGAATTTCTTTAACCGATCGGCATTTAGTGCACCTATGGGCTGCAAGTACATATAAAGCCATACGTTAGCTGGAAGACTGAAGCCAATAGTAATTTGAGAATCACAATCCAGAATTTGTGACACCTTTGAAAGATCTCGGTAAGAAGACGGATTGGCAAAATCCAAACTTTTTGAACTGTAATCAGAAAGAATCCATGGGAAAACGGGATACTGCAAAGAAGAAAGGAAATTATAGATTAACTTATTCCTCCCTAGAAATTAAAAACTGTGTGATCTTAAGAAGATCCACCTGAGTGATGTCATTATAACTACGTCCAGCAAGTGTGTTGAGCTGCATTAAATATTCAAAATTGCTGATCTGCAGAGGATGTATTAATTAGAAATTTATGGAATTCCTTAACAAAAGAAAATGAGATAGCTGAAACTACAAAGACTGAATGACATAATCAGATGAAATATACACCCAAAGATCATTATTATTTCATACCTCCCACCTAGCCCAACGCTCCATAAGTTGAGTTCTCTTCAGAAGTATTTCAGGCCTCTACAAAATAAATAAATAAATAAAATAAAAATAGTTATATGATTTATAATGTGTTACAATAAAATACATGGAGCCCTCTGATCTGTTAATAAAAATAAACTGACGGCATGCATGGTGGTGCTCCTGTGCTGAAGTGTTATTCCAATTAAACATTTCCAGATCTATCCATAAGACATAAAGGCCACAGGAGGGTAAACACCTGAGTTGCCAGGTAAATATTGTTCAAATGAGGTGGACGTGTTTGAACAATAGCGCGATATGCATTTCTTCTCCCCTCAGTACTCTGAAGCCAGAAATTTCCAAACAAATAAATTGGTTAACTACAACCATCAACGTCATTTAATAAGGGAAATGCAAAATGAATACTCCAAAGACTAATACCCCAAAATCAAAGAAGAAGTTCGACCGATCAACCATAAATAATTCCAGTGCACTTTTTCTCAGAAGATATCTGTAAAGACAATAAACATGGGAGGAAGAGTAAACAAGTTAGAAATGATACATTCTTGAGACAGTCAAAGCAGTTTATGACGGAGAAAAAATGAGAGAAACGCGACTAAAATAGTGCATTGGTGGGGAAGAGTGACATTACATACATTGAGACTAATGATCAGGATAAAGACCAAAACTAAGATGCATTGGATAAAAATGACAAATATGGCAACTTCTGTTCAACTAAATTTATGACCAGAAACAGAGTAGAATGGCAAACAGTATTCATATAACTGCCCCTATTTAGTTGTGATAAATCTTTATTGATACAGCTTACTTGAGTAACAATATTTAAGAGAGGAACCAGATTTTCTTTCTTTACTTTTTTTCTCTTTAACACGACTAAGGGAAACTTCATAAACAGGAAGAGATTACTTTGAATCTTAGAGCCCTTTAAGGGAATGGGGCTCTTGCTGAGGGAGGCCAGAGAGGAAAGTTTAGCGATGGCAGATGTTTGGAAAAGTAAAAGAATTTCTGCTATAATTCTTTTTCTTTTTTTTTTTTTTGGGGGGGGGGGGGGGGGGGGGGGGGGGGGGGGTGTAATTTATCATCTCTCAAGGTAAACATAACCAGAAGCGTAAGACAAATAATTAAAATTTACAAAAAAAGTCCAGCAGAACTCTATTTTCATCATACTTCATTTTCTTCTTTGTGTGTTTGAGTGCGCGTCTGTTGCTACCCAAAGGAAACAACTTAACTACACAGAACTCCATTTCATCATACTTCTTTTTTCTTCTTTTGTGTGTGTGAGTGTGTTAACAACCAAAGGAAATAAAAACTTAACTACATTCAGATCCAGAACTACGGCACATTTACAACTTAGTCCTTTACACTAAAATATTGACTCAAAAGAATCTCAAATGGAGATGTTCAAACTACATGAATGCTGTCATATGACAACAGTAGTAGAATAGTAATTAAAGAAAACACACTTTTCATGTCACCTTCTGCTAAATATTTGATGAAGGGAAGACATCAACCAGCTCTGATCCTTTTCCTGGACTCCACGCTCAGAACTGCAATCCAATCCATCACTCGTTGCATTGCTCTCAGTATTATCAACGATAAAGTTAATTCTTCTTGTTGTTATCTGACAAAGGACATTAGCGAATACGTTTAGTCAAACTTGCAATAATTGGGTGCCATAAGATCAGTAAAACTACTTGAACATAAAAATCTACTGCAAAAAGTATCAACATTGGGTGTCATGAGATCAGTAAAACTACTTGAACACAAAAATCTACTGCTAAAAGTATCAGCATTTTATCCTACACTCATAAATTCAGAACTTTTATTGCATTCAAACTGCATATACTTCACAGATTGATTCTGTAAATGGTAAAAAACTTTTTCTGGATCTTTGTCAGAAAATGCATCTATAAAGCCAAGTAAAGATCAATGCATGAGTAACAATTAACAACATAATCTAGATACCTGAAATGTTCCTCGTAGAACCTTTAACGGCCGGACCATTGAAGACGGAAGCTCAAGAACAATTCTTTCATCAAGTTCACTAGGAACATAGCCAGGGGCAACTGCTGATGGATTTCGCACCAAGTCCTCATTGCTAATAACTTGAGGGTGTCCAGATTCCACTGACGCCTGAAGGGGTTGCTCAGCCATTGCAGACATCCTTGCCTGAATCTCCCCATGCTGTTCTACATTATCTGTCCTACCCACTACATTGTCAATGTCTTCCTGTTCATCATCCTCGTTTACTACCTCCATTGAAATAGCTTCCGCTGCCAAAACAGAGGCTTTAGATGGATTTATGGCATTATCTTGGTCATGTTTCAGCTCCATATGATCTTCATAATTGGCAGCAGCACCCAAATGGTCAGACCCTCTGTAGTTCCTCCTCAAACATTGCCTCATCCTCGAGGAACTTTCCATAACGTCTAGCTTCCAGAAAACCTACACAATCGAGGTTTCATATTTTGAGAAATTGTGATCCTTAAATCTAAAGTAAAAGCATCGAATGAAAAATATGCCAAGGAATGAGGCCAGTAACATACACGCTCAGGATTGCATAAAGGGTCTCTGAACGGCCCAAATAGACATTTCATCTCTATCAAGCAATGGATGAGTTTACGCCACGCACGTATACCAGTATATAGACGATGCCTAGCTATTACATCAACTTGTCTGCGCCTCTCAACCTGAAGATTTGCAAGGCAAATTATTATTATTATTGTAGACTAGTTTAATTAAGTAATGATAACCACCAAGACAAGAAGCAAGAATCGAACCTCAAATCGTTGCATGGTTCTAGCCAAAGCTAAACTACCAACAAGAACAGCAATGAATTTATAGGATAAAGCATTAAAATCTTTCGCATGGACCAATTTTGTATCAACTGACTGCAAGCATTCCATCCAGGCAGTTCCCATTGCTTCAGAAACATTCCATCTTTTTACACGTTCCGTATCACTCTCACTCCTCCGCTGTGCAGATGTGGCCATTGCCACAGCAGTGAGCCCTCTTCCAGAACCAATCTTTGCATTGCGTTCAATATCGCGTGCAGCAGCCAAGGCAGCAGCTTTTGCAGCAGCCTTGTCCTTCGGAACAGCTGACGATTTGCTAGGTACCTCCAAAGGTTTTTGAAAGCTTGAAAATGTTTGAAGCCTACCCGTTTTCCTCTCAAGCAATGAGGAGTGGTCACGTTTAAACTGTGCATTTTTTGCCGGTGTTGTGGTTTCCCCACCAGCAGCACCAGCAGCAATCATTGCCAGTGCCATTGCAGCAGGTGGAGAAGCAAAAGCAGCAGCCCATCCCGGAGAGATCATGGCAAGAGCAGCCTGAACAAATATTAACTGGATGTCTCAGACAACGCAGTAAAATAAAATTCATTGCAAAACTACCAATCTAACATGAGCAGATGGCAAGTATAGCAAAGGATATTAAAGCTCTACATGCAATAACAATAAGAATGCAAGGAGATCCATTTACCCAATTGAAAGAGAACTAAAGAAAAAGAAAGAGTGGGGAAAACAACAACAAAAAGAGGGAAATGCTAAAGTACCAATGAATATTTCTTATTTGTTATCCAAGAAAAGCAAAGAAAATTTTAGTTACCGATAAAACAGAACTTGTATATATATGAGTTATAGACCAAACAAAAAAATATACATATGGTCCGTGCAGAATTTGGGCCAGAGAATTTTCAAGCATAACATGTTTTTACAGTTTTAATGCAGAAAGGAACCTCACATCAAACAAAATCCTGCCTGTGTAACAGAGCAATTATAACATATTTGTTCAAGGAATCTAACATATCATGCATGGCCGTAGACAACTTCTCTTGGCACCATATTACTAAGACATTACACAGAAAACCCAAATAAAGTTTATTTCCCCTCCGTTCCAGAAACCCAGTCGGAAAACAAATTAAGCTGACAATAATAAAAGTCTGACAATTTAAAGACAAGGGAAGACAAAATTGAAGTTTTATATGTCATGAGGGAAAAACATATGAGAGTTGATGTTCAATAACCTCTATTGGTAGGGCATCTGCAGCCAGTGCACGGTCATCAATAGCAAGAGGATTCAAACCATCTGCAGTAGCAAGTTCATGAATTCCTGCCAAAATTGGCCGCCATCTCCTTAAAACAGCAACAAAAGGGGGCAAAATTGCCTCGAGATACTGTTTACGAAGAGGGATTCTATCCCTGCTGACAGCATGCCACACCTGTATCATACATATCGTAATAAGATAACAGCATAACAGTTGCACCAACTGCTCTAGAAGTAAATGAAATAAAGGAAAATTTTAAACTTATAGATATTTTATAGTCAAGAAAAGATGACAGTAGTTAACAGGTGGGTAGAAAAAAAGTAAATCATTAATATATCAGAGCAAAGCTAACTCTGTATGGAACTAACCTCAGAATAGAGAATGCAACATGCAACCAACACCCTCTGTCTCTTAGACTCAGAAATCGGCATGTTCAGAACCGGTGAAAGCACACTGTAAAGCACAAATTATGAGTCAATTTATCCCCAAGATCTTCATGAAAGCATGTTATTGGTAGGGTAACAAAAAAAAGGACGCCACAAAAGGCAACTCAAAAGCTCTGTTATGCATCATAAGATCACTACTGTACCCAAATACTATATCACAATGATGTCTAGTATGCTTGTATGCAAAACTAAAAATTAAAAAGGACTAGAATGAAAACATTTGAATAATATGAGTGTGACAAAACATCTAAAAGATGATGCAACAAATAATGAAAGTAAACAACCAAATAAACTGTGCAAAAGAGAGAGAACTAATACAGAACATAGTGTATACAAATAGAATATTTGCAAGGGATGTTCTGACTCCTCTGTTCTAAATGGAAGAATTGGAAAATCTCCACAGATGGCAAAAATGAAAAAGAGGATACAAGTTAGGTGGTGCCTATTTTAGGCAAAAATAATGCACCAGCTTAGGAATCAATAAGGTAACAATTACACGTGTACACGCAACAAGAGTAATTGTGATAAGTTGTCGGGATGATAAGTGGCAAGATTGGAAAGAAAATAGAGTTTAGTGGACCCTACATCTCATACCATTAAGTAACGAACACTAAAGTACAAGTGAAATGGATTAACCATGCGAAAGGAAGACCAATAAGGATATTGGAGTGAAAGATCAAAATGCTGAAACTAAAACATTCAAAGAGAAAGGAGCAGAAAAGAATCTTTTACTGATATAGGTTGTAGTTTTTCAAGCAGTACTCGACATCCGCAAGCGTTTGATGCAACATGGAAGAACAAAAACAATTTTGGAGTCTAAGAAGAAAAAATTAATTAGCTTGTTTTGCAAGAAAACAATTCTGTAACTAAAAAGCTGTCTGCAAGTTATTTCAGATAAACAACAGTTAACCATAGACTTGAGAATTAAACAAAACAACAATCAGAAAAACAAGTAAGCATCTCCTTTTAACTACTTATGAGAGGTCACTGAAATAACCTGAGGTTAAAAATGGAAAATTACAATCCCCATCTCTGATGCTGGTCCAGCGCACCAGTACTAGAGTCACTCCTCTTGAAAGATGCCAAAGCATTTTTTACTTTTCTTTTTTTTGTTTTTCAGTTCAGATATCAAAGCAAACTTAAGCTGTTTAGTTTTGTTTAAGGAAAAACTAAAACTCTTAAGCTATAATAGTTAAAAATTTGGTGAGACAAAAATCCCACATGACCGCCATTTCAAGAAAGGCATCGAGCTGACTGATCACTAGCAAAGAATATTAAGAGTCTTGGGGAGAATTAAACTCATCAAGGAGACGCCTGAGCTAGTATTGAGTCTCAAAGACTACAGACATCAAAATCTCTTCAATGGTTTATTTTAATTTAATTATCTTAGAAATTTACAAAATTCCGACAAAAAAAAGTGAGAATACAATAAGAATAGTCAAAAGACTATGTAGCTATAAGGTATGAAATTTTGGCACTTGGACCTGAGAAGACATCTGCATTTATTTGTGAAAAAAATTGATCTCACTATTTTAGAACACTATAGATTCTATCATTGTCCAGTCATGGGGAGTATATGCGGGTTCTTCACCATGAGGGTTGTTCTTGTCAAATGTTCATCGTAATACTAAATTGCCACATAGAAGAGAAAGTTTAGACCTAAGTTCTAAGGTTTGAACCAAACACTAGAATTATGAGAGGGGAAGTATAATATTTAGGTGTAAATCTGATAGTTGGGAGAAGGTTTAGATTGTGATTGCAGTGATAATTATGAGTCTAGATAAATAGTAGATGCTACAGGTTGTTGCTAATGACACTGAACAACAACTGTTGAACACCATCTTCTGTTCTTTCAAATTGCCGAAAGGAGAGTATCAAGAAACAAGATGCTTTTAGGCACTTCCGACTGCCCGCAGGGGGGTCACAAACACATAAAGCCACGAATTTCAATTGGTCTGCAGTTGTATCTAATTACAGAGACAATCAAGGACATGTTTAAGAGATTCTGAGAGAGCAAAAAGACGGGGAATAGCCTCAATTGAATGTACGGTCAGTACAGCTAGTACCTCCACAGCAATGCTGATCGTGGTTTCCTTGTTGACATTCGAGCATTTTTATCTAAGGATGCAGTGTTGTCAGCTTGCCCATGTAATCCATCAGCCAATCCATCCTGAATGTTTACATTCCTCATAAGCATGCTATCTTCACCGTCATCTTCTTCCCTCATTGAAGCAAGCGCCATCCGGAGCATGCACAAGAATGGTTGGTCACTGTCCAATAATTGATAAAGTGCTGCCATGCCGCCCATTCCAGTACCAGATCCTCCTCCAATACCAAGACCACCACCAAGTCCAGACTCGTCTAACAACAAAGCTTGGAGCATGGCAATTGACTTCTTTATTAAAGGAAGTTCAATCCAGTTTCCATTTGCATCTTTCTCCAAAGCAGATTTCCAAGATTCCCAGCCACTGCCGCCACCACCAAGTGACTCTGTTTTTAAAGGCAGACCAACTCCATACCACATTCGACTCCTGTATTTCCAACCCACAGCTAAATCCAGAGCGCAGCTCCCATAAGACACAAAAGCACAGGAAACAGACTCATAAGGTTCAGCTGCTGCTGCAGCAGTAAGCCGTTCCATCACTGAGGCAGAAATTTGCCCATATTCATCAGCCATTGATACAAGTACCTGGAAGAAATTTAAACAGATTAATAGTTACCAAAATGGATGGAAATAGGTGAAAACAAGAAAAAAAAATTATTCGTAAACAAAAAGATTCAACTTGAAACCTCTAACAAACCCAATGATACCAAGGAGGAGAGGGCATAGAGGAGCCGTCTTCCACACAAAACAATTAAAGTCAACAATTACAAAACCAACCATATACAGGGCATATCCATATAGATGGAGATCTAATATACATATTGTATAAAATAAAAAATAAAAAGAAAAACAGGCTCTGTTGACATTGTAATGTTAAAAAGAACCGTATTACAGCTGTATTGAAACTGTGCCAACAAAGCAAATCTTGTACTTTTCAAAACCTAAGAATGGATTTGTTGTCTTTTCCAAAGCACAACTTTAGAATTCTTAATTCAACAGAATCCACATTTTTTACTTCAATCGTGCAAACAGTATCTCTACTGACATTTCCAGAGATTCATTTTATAATTCCATGAAATTCTAATAATATCCGTCATTTTTTCCATCAAAAAATGTGAAGTCAATATTTTTGTGATATATATATATATATATATGCAAGTGTTTGAAGATTGTGGTATCTTTTCTTTGCCCCCCACCCCCCCCCCCCCCCCCCCCCCCCCCTCTCTCTCTCTCTCTCTCTCTCTCTCTCTGGTATATTTTCTTCATTGGTGCTTCAATAAAGATTGGCTCTAGTGACTTCAATGGTAGATTCAAAAGTCTCATTCCTGATCTCATCTTTTTTCTAAGTGAAAGAACAAAACATAAGAAAAGATACTTCTTTTCCTTTCCCTTTTTGCTTCTCTACCATGATTCTCCTAAAAACTGAACATAATGAAGTCCAATGTCTACAGAATCTTATGACTCATGCTGCCAATTGTATGTTACATCTGAGATTAATACAACTGTTAACTCAACTCAACATAACCTTCTCCAAACTATTTGGAGTTGGCTAATGAATCTTGTTTCACAAAGATAGCCTCACTAAATCATATGTAGACATGTCTTTCCTAACCATCTCAACCCATGTTGGTTTTGGCCTTCTCCTTCCTTAATATTACCCTCATAAAGGATCACACTATATTCCCTAGTGCAATTATTGGCCGTCACCGGACATGGCCAAACCATCTTAATTGGTATCCTCTCATTTTATGTCTAGAACATGCTACATTAACCATCTCATGGAAGTGTTTATTGTTACCATTAACTAATGTCCATATAGGATTATTTATTTATTTTTTTTTGATAAGTAAGATTTTATTAAAAACGCTCAAAAAGGGGAGCGAAACCCAAAGAAACAAAAGGAACACAAGGGCCAGAGGGCGCCTTAGACCTTCAGAGAGGCCAAAAAAACAATAATTTCCTCCACAAATCCATAATCTCTCCCTGAAACCCAACAAAAAAGAGTAGAAATAACAGAGAACTTAAGCATAGAAACAGGCTTCTTTTTCCCGTCAAAATATCTCCTATTTCTCTCAAGCCAAATACACCACCAGATACAGAGCGGTGTAGCCCTCCAAGCATCCCTAATGCCAGCCCCAACAGAGACGCCTCAATCAACCCTCTAGAGGAGAAAGGCATAGCCCAATGAACCCCAAATAAACGAAGCATCAAATCCCAACAATCTCTGGCCATGCTGCAATGTAAAAGGAGGTGATCAACAGACTCTTCATGACACAAGCACATGTAACAGTGATTGACTACCACCTGATTCCTCCTACTCAGATTATCCTGGGTTAAAATCTTACCCAGAACAGAGGTCCAAGCAAAAAAGGCGACCTTGCGGGGAGCCTTGGACCGCCAAATAGACTTCCAAGGGAAGGGATCTCCATGACCAAACGAAAGGCATCTGAAAAAGGACCTAACCTCAAAACGGCCATGCGTGGTAGGAATCCAGAACCACCGATCTGATCCCCCAATAGAAAACACCTGGCTATACAACAACTCCAGAAAACGAGAAACATCCTCGATCTCCCAATCCTGAAAATGCCTCCTGAAACGAACATCCCAAGACAATCTCCCGTTATCAAGATGATAACAGTCGACAACCATGGCCTGTCGATGAGAAGCAATCCTGTAGAGCCGTGGGAACGCGAGAGCAAGAGGGAGATCCCCACACCAGAGATCCAACCAAAAACTGATCCTCCTTCCATCTTCAATACGAAAACGAACATGCTTGCAGAAATCATCCCAACCCCTCCGAATACAATGCCAAACTCCCACTCCCCTTGGACCACACATTTCTAGGGAGCACCACCCACCACGACTTTCCCCAAATTTGCAAGCAACAACTTTCCTCCATAACCAATGCCTCTCGATCCCAAACCTCCAGAGCCATTTACCAAGAAGAGCCTTATTAAAAGGTAACAACCTCCGAAACCCTAAGCCTCCAAACTGAATTGGACGACACACTTGTTCCCATCGAACCAAGTGAAATTTGAACTCTTCACCTTTCCCCCCCAAAGGAAGTTGCACTGCAATCTTTCAATTCTCTCAGCCACTGAAGAAGGAATCTGAAACAGAGACAAGAAGTATGTAGGCAGGCTAGAAAGGGTGCTCTTAATCAGGGTAACCCGACCCCCCTTGGACAGGTACTGCTTTTTCCAACCCGCCAACCTCCTCTCGACTCTGTCCACAATCGAATCCCATCTCCCCACACATCTCGACGGAGCACCCAAAGGCAATCCTAAATAAGAAATGGGAAAAGAGCCAATGCAACAGCCAAGGATGTGAGCAAACTCCTCAATCTCCGGAACATCCCCAACAGGCACAAGAATACTCTTACCAACATTAACCTTAAGGCCAGAAACAACCTGAAACTAGATCAGAGCGCATCTCAAATACCTCAACTGGGACTCATCCGCATCACAAAACACAATAGTGTCATCTGCAAACATCAAATGAGAAACCTCCAATTGACTAGCAACATTCCTGCCCACCCGAAAGCCACTCAAAAAACCCAATTCCACAGCCCTCTTTAGCAATCTGCTAAGAGCCTCCATCACAAAAAGGAACAGGAAAGGGGAAAGCGGATCCCCTTGTCTCAAACCCCTCGAGCTAGAGAAGAAACCCGACGGCGCTCCATTCACAAGGACAGAGAAACGAGCGCTAGAGATGCAAAAAAAAATCCATCTCCTCCATCGCCCACCGAATCCCATCCTCTCTAACAAGTAGAGAAGGAAACTCCAGCTCACATGATCGTATGCCTTTTCAATATCTAGCTTACAAAGAACACCCGGAACACCGCTGCTCAAACGGGGAATCAACACATTCACTGGCATTAAGAACAGAATCCAGGATCTGCCGACCTCCCACAAAAGCATTCTGAGAGTCAGAAATGACACCATCCATCACCTTCTTCAACCTAGAGGCCAAGACTTTCGCAATCAACTCGTAAAAACATCCCACCAAACTAATAGGGCGGAAGTCTCTAACATCCATTGCCTCTCCCTTCTTCGGAATAAGAACAATAAAAGTTGCATTCAAACTTTTCTCAAAAGAACCCTGTGCGTGGAAGGCATGAAAAGAACCCATCACCTCTTCACGAACCACCTCCCAACACCCCAAAAGGAACCTCATAGTAAAACCATCCGGACCAGGAGCTTTATCCCCATTACAGCTCTTCAGAGCAGAGAGAACTTCCTCTTCTGAAAAAGGCTCTTCCAAAACAGAGCCCTCCTCTCCCGAAATAGAGTCAAAATGAAGCCCATCAAGCAAAGGACGCCAATCAGCTGACTCAGTGAACAAAGACGAAAAGTACTCTGAAAAGCTCTTACTAATCTCCTCCTCTTTATTAATCACCACCCCATCCACCCTAATCCTCCCAATGTGGTTGCCCCTTCTGTGAGCATTAGCAAGTCTATGAAAGAATTTAGTGTTATTGTCACCTTCTTTAAGCCACAAAGCTCTAGATTTCTGTCTCCATGAAATCTCCTCCATAACAGCAATCTCAGCAAACTCTGCTTGACACTCCACCCTCCTAAGTCTCAAAGGACCCGTCAAAAGACTCTGATTCTCCATCTTATCAATGTCAGCAATCTCAGAGAGAACCCGATTCTTTCTCCAGACTAAGTTACCAAACACCTCTTTGTTCCAGACTTTAAGATCATTCTTCAAAAAGAGCAACTTGCCTGCCAAAGTATGACTCGGAGTGCCAACCACTCCATACCCCGCCCACCAGGATCGAACTCGCTCCAAGAAACCTTCAGCCCGGAGCCACATATTCTCAAATCTAAATGGGGATCTTCTGCTACGCAGCCCGACACAGTCCAACAGCAACGAAACATGATCAGACAAAGGACGAGCCAAAATGGTCTGAACAACATCAGAAAACTTCACCTCCCAATCACTCGACACCAAAAATCTATCAAGACGAGAAAGTGTGGGAGGAGAACGACCACTGGACCAAGTGAAAGGCCCACCCACCAAAGGCAAATCAAGCAAGCAGCAAGCATCAATAAACTCTGAGAAAGCCTCCATATCAGCTGTCCATCTGCCCCCTGTCGATCTCTCAAAAGGGGAACGAACAACGTTGAAATCCCCCCCGATACACCAAGGCAACGACCATCGCCTACGAATCTCCCCCAGCTCCTTCAAAAACAAATGGCACTCATTATCCTCCGTAGGCCCATAAACTCCAGAAAAAACCCACCGAAAGCCATCCTCCACCATGGATAGAAGACAGGAAACCGAGAACCGCTCAGCCTGAGAATCCAGCAAAGAGATCCTACGGACATCCCACATAATCAGGATACCACTCGAAGAGCCAACCGCATCCAACGCACACCACTCCACGAATCTCCCACCCCACAAACTTCGAACAATCACATCCGTCATGGAAGCAATCTTTGTTTCTTGAAGACATACAAGATGACCACCCGCTTTCCAAATCACCGATTTCACCACTTTCCTTCTAGCCGGGTCATTAAGACCCCGGACATTCCATGAGAGAATTTGGAGCTTCATTGGGAAACAGTAGAATTAACCGTCTCACCCCTCCTCCCACTGGCTCTCTCCCTAGCCCCCCTCTTCCTCCTTTCATAAGTAACAACAGACGAGGGACTTGGAACCCCTCTCTCCTCACTCACCACTGGAGCACTCCCCCTATAATCCATTCTATCAGCAAACTGAGCATTAAGAACATCTAGGAATAGATTAGTCGCCTCCTCCATCCGACCCTCAAATGACACACCCAAAAGAGAACCTATCTCGACACCATTTTCTTTCATCCAATCATTCCCCGAATTAGCCAACCCTGCATCAAATCCCCTTCCTTCCGCAAAATTCTCTTCTGGTCTAACAACTGCCAAAGGTGTAAGCAAGTCAACATCGGACTCACATCCGTTCCACACAACCATTCCCGCATCCCCATGAATAGAGGAACACGACCCATCCTCCCCAAACTCAACAGAAGAATAGATGGAGAGCAACAAGAAAGAGGAGTTCCAAACACCTCCTCGGCCAAACGTTCATTCTATTCAGTGACAAGGCCCTTCGACACAAGATGAGTTCTCAATTCATTCAAGAGCACAGCAGCTGAAACATCATCAATCCGTATCTTCACATCCCGACCCCCACACACAGTAAATCCGTCACTGTTAACATCACACAACCGAGTAGAACCCACCTCAAAATCACCATCGTCACCATGTCTTTTCTCAAAACCAAGCACCGGCTCCTTCTCAAAAACCGGAGATAAACATTGTGACACAGAAGACACAACTCCCTTTTTCAGCACCAAACTCCTTCAAGACACCCCGTAAGGATGAAAAGTGGAAGAGGGAGAGAGAGAGAGAGAGTGATTAGGCGAAGCAAAGGACATACCCGATCCAGCGGCAAACTGCGAAGCCGGAATCCACTTCTGCTTTTCCTTTCGAGACCATTTTTTGCGCACAGGGGGAAAGATCACTTTCTTCTTCATACGGTGGCCCTGCACCTGCCCCTTAGCACGTCTACTTCTTCTAGAGCCTTCAGGAAACTCTCTGTTCAACTGAACTTCAATGATATCAATACCATCACTTAGAGGCCCAAACCGGTTGCCCAACACTGGCCCAGAAGAAACAATAGTAGAATCCGGTCCTTTCTTCAATTCACAACCTACAACAACGGATCCTTGTCCACCACATACAACATCCAAAGTTTGGGCCGCACTACCTCCATCCGGCCTAGCAGATGGCACTTTATCCCTCAGCCCAAAATTAGGCCCAGCCACCGACTTAACCCCAAATTCGGCCTTTCTTTTATTCGTAGCCCAAGACTTTGAAACAAAAGTGGATGCAGCTGTCATCCACTTTGAACGGCCAAGTCTTCTGCGCCAACCACATGTAAGGCCTTCATCACTCACCCTCCCACACGCTTGATTGATGTGAGAAACATCATGACGACGCTCCTTTCTCCACATCTGCATGAATGCCGGCCGGCCAAGACCGATGAGACCACCTCTTTATGCCTTTCCCGGGTTCTCTCTTGCCTTCGAACACCAGTTCCATCCGATAAGCCTTCTTTCCTTCTCAGAGAGAAAAACCTCCTAAAACAGTCCGAGTTTCGCTTCCATAAATCGTCCCTCCATTCCTCCAATCTCTGAAACTCAGCCAAACCTTTCTTCCCCAACGATTCCCACCTTAACTATTCTTTCTCCTTCAGCAGGTGCGAACCATCACCTCCTTCCAAGCTATCCGTTGTCGGAAAAAGCTCAGGAGGCTTCTCTTCCCACACCTTCACTTTGTAGCAGAGACGATCATCGTGGATGAAAACAAAAGGAGGACAAACCTTGCCGTCGGACACTGTAATGCAAACCCTTTCAGCGTCAATTGTTTCATCGGCATCCACCCAAATGAAACCACTGCATAGATCGCCGACCATAACAAACAGGGCATGACTCCAAAGATGGAGCGGGAGACCGTACAACGTCACAAACTTCAGACCCTTACCTTTCAATACCTCGGAACGCCCCACCCTAAAACACCAAGATTCCAATCGAAGTGTGGCCGTCCCCCAAACACGACGACCTTCTTTAAGCACACGAGAAGCCTCCTTTGGAGAAGGAAAACGAAAAGCAACAACGAATCCGGTAGAGGTGAGATAACAACCCCGGGAGAAACCTTCCAAGCACGAGAAGCCCAAGCCGCGATTTGAGCCCAATCACCCACATCCTTGTCGAACTTTCCTACCAAACACGATCGAAGGTCCTCTCTTCTTCTTTCCACCGAATCATTATCCAGAAAAAACGAATGCCCTCGATAAGTGTTTGCAGATCTAACAGATCCGCCTTGAAACAGACGGGGCAACCTCGCGACATCCACGAACGACCTCATCTGATTTAATTTTTTCACAATATTTTGTTTGCATTACTGGGTGTGAATGAGAGATAGGAAATGTTTACACAGCAAGAACACATATCATGGTTTCAACATTATATTATAAACAAGAACTCCATACAGGATTAATTAAAAGAATAAAAAGTTTTTCTTTTTTTAAGAAATAGAAATATTGAAGAAAGCACATGATGGATTTGCTTACAAAAAAGTAAAAAGATTTGGAGATAAAATACAATTGAAACAATTTCTTTGGCCATAGTCATGAGCAAGAAAAATCTACAACACAGCATTGAATTATACAGTGTACATGAGTTGGTGTCTAGATCATCGTGCAGATGAAATGACAGGCTACTGTCAGCGCCAATCATAATTTAGTCATATCTGGTTGTTTTATGGTACTAACAAGGATCGTGAAAAAATTATTTGAACACTATGACTAGCGGTCAAGATATCTACCTGATAAGGTCCATATAATGCCTTGTGCATAAAAAAGTGTCCTAAAACAGTCCAACACAAGTTGTTCCATTATGACAACTGGACACCACAGAAGTACAAGACTGACAAGTTAGAACAGTTTTCAAATTATATTCAAGTGTCAGTAGCAGTTGCCCTGCTTAAAACACATGGCCGTTAGTACCTTTATGGAATGGCTTTCACATTTTACACTTCTGTGTAAAGGAGAGTTGTAGTCATCAGGAATCATTTATGGAAAGGATATGAGCCCAAACATCCTCATAAAAAGTTGGGAGTTTTTACTTAATAAAGAAAACAGTATATGGTGTGTTACTGAATTGTGCCAGCAGATCTACGATCAAAAAAGTTTTTACGCCCCCCAAGGCAGCATTATACTTTTTTCTGGTGTCGTCCTCATTTAGCCTTCAATACAAGGTAAAATAAAAATCTTAGAGACAATCTAGATATGGCCTCGCCTCTGAAGAAGTTTCACAAGGAGCTCAGAAAAAAAAATGATGGATGTGCATTGTTCATAGTAACCAAAAAACGTAGACAAGCTAAAAAATGATACTTTTGAACTTAAAGAACAATTTGAAACTGAAACTGAAACAGAAACAGATATAACAGATGCACAACTATAATAGGAAGAACTCCTCAACCAAAAAAACTATAATAGGAAGAACTAGATAATTAACACTGTAAAATCATAGATGCAACCAGAAAGAGATTTTCATGCACAAACTCATATAACTGCAAACATACATCAAGAGGGAGTCCTCCAGAGTCGCTAGACGGTGACTTGTAATCCACTGCAGAATCTAAAGATTCCCCACCAATCGTGATTGAATTCGAGCGGGAACCTGCGGAAAGAGGAGAAGCAGAAGCAGCAACAGAACGTGAAGAACTATAAAGTTTGCTTTGTAGTCGTAAATGATCTTCAACAAGCATTAGAATCACAATTGCGTTCTCAACCAAAGCCACAGAGAGCTGAGCAGCATTCTCTGCTTCGGCCTTAGCATCTTTTGGTGACAAGCCCTCAGCTGCAACACCAGCAGCTGCTGCAGCAATAACTTGAGTCTGCTACAAAGAAAAGCTGGATGTAGACATTAATGTAGTCTTTTTTCAGCAAATAGCTTTTCAGCTTTATTTGAGAAGAAACAACTAAAGCAAAGGATGGTGGCCATCATTACTATTGCTGAGGACAATAAGAAACAAGTTGCAAGGAAACTAAAATAAAATACCAAATCAATGACTAAGAACATAAAAAGGACGTGGAGATAGCAACATATCAAATAATGTGCCTAAGAACATAAAAAGAAAACATAAGAATAAAATAAAAAAAACAAAGAAATAAATAAATAAAACAGAAGGAATGTTTAAGGTCACAAAAAGGTCAATTAGGAAATGAATTTTACATATATAAAAAATTGATGTAAACATTGCATTTTTTATATACGGACTTTGGTAAGAACATAGTAAGAAAAATAAGCTCTCTTAAGTTTTTAGCAAAATCTGAAAATATTAAACAGACAACTATTATAGTGTCCTCATCGTTGCCTGTGAGGCTCACTAGTATCCCCCAAGTTTTGGAGGTTGATGGTGTTTTAGTTTGTTGGGTCTAGAAACTTCAATTATTTTCTTTCTTTGGTGATCTCTTCCCGACCTCTATTCTGTTTTCCTGAATCTAATTACTGCCTGTCCTTAATTTATCAGTACCCTGTTGTTAACTACCATCTACTGTAAATGCTTAAGCTGTTGGAGAGGGTGTGCTTAAATAGTTAAATTCAACACGCCCCCTCATGTGTGACCTTTTTGGTCCAACACACGTTTCAATTTTAATTATCAGGGTGACGGTGGTGAGATTTGAACACATGACCTTGCCTGCTCTGATACCATGTACTCTGAAAGCTTAAGCTGTGGAGAGGGTGTAACTTAAATATTTAAATTCAACTTTCCTTATTTATTTGTAAGTTTATCATATATCCTGAGTGGTTGGAAGGGCAGGCACTAGAAAGGCCTGAAAGGAGTTTCTCAAGTGTATCATGTTGTAAGGAACAGGAGAGTTAGATTTTGGTGTGTTGATTGCAGCAACAACGGTACTCTGAAAAGGATATTTCCAGATCTGTGCTGGATTACACGGACAAGGAGACCTTATTGGATGATTATGACAGGGTGACACAAAACAGGAGGGGTGAACCGGGTAGCCCAGTGGGTTAGAGGCACTCCCCTGAGTCATGTGAGAGCCCAGGTTTGACTCACCCCCATCCTCCCCCTTCCTTGTCAGGAAAAAAAAAAGACAGGAAACAGGGTAATTAGGGACCTCTGGTTAAGGACACGCGGATCTCGAGTTGGAGATATAAGACTCCTTTGGGATGTTCTATAAACAACTGGGCTTGGAAGATTCCTTAAGATGGGTGACGCACTGGGGAAGGAAGTTCAAGGAGCAATCCATCTCCAGTGTATAAAGGATAGAGAGTACAACAACAACCACCACCAAGCCTTTTCCTAATTACTTGGGGTCGGCTACATGAATCTTATGTTTTCATTCCGCTTTAATTAAAATCATAACCTCCATCAATCCACACGCTATCATATCTTTCTTTACTAACTCTACTGACGTCAACTTTGGTCTTCCTCTTCCGCTAGTATTACCCTCAATGTGGACTATGTCACTTTTCCTAACGGGCACGCTTAAGGTTTTGTATAAAGGATAGGAAGTCTTCCCTGTAAATGCTATCCAACAAACCAAAGTTCTTCATAAGTGGACTTTTTCAGGGAGTGCTAAAAGAATGGTTATCGCCTACCTGTTATGCATGTAAACTGACTCACAAACCTATTCAACCCAGCCTGAGCACATTGAGTCATTTCGAATCCAATTCCAATGCTCACACAATGATTTGACCTGTATTTATATGTTTTCAAGTGGTGAACTTACAAAAATGCCCTTGACAATTTTTTTTAATTATATTGTAGTAGGCTCGATTATATTGTAAATATTATAATTATATTAGCATTAATTATTAAAGTTATTAATATTAAATATATAGAGTGTAATTTCTATGCATATGTTTTATATATGTTGTAAAACAAAAAATAATAACTTATAATATTCATAATATTGATTAATGTAATATACAATCCATGTACTATGTAATGCATCTATATCATATTTGTATAATTTGTACTTTTTTTAAACTTATTAGGATAATAATTTAATTATAACTTAAATTTATACATATAACAAATTCTACAGTGTTTATTTTTATAATCCATAACATGTAAAAATTTGAATAAGGTATACTTGTAACAATAAAGTTTATATGTAGAGTATATATTTACTTTTCATTAACTATATATTTACTTAAAATTTTATATGTTTATGAAAATATATATATATATATATATATATATATATATATATATATCTAAACAAATTTATAAACTTAAATATTCCAAAAATACATGTATTTATATATGTACAAATGTACAAAAATAAAAATAATTTTTTTTTTTTTTTTTTTAAACAGGGATCGAAAAACCCCAGGTCAGGGCCTTGATGACATTTCAAAATCGGAAAAGCCAGGCTTGACATAAGAGCTTTGGACTGTGCTAGCCCGACCAGCTCTGCATCCCTACTCCCACTACCGGGTGGCAAAGAACTATTGGGATCTTCTCTATACTCCCATCTATCTTTGGTTTTCACCAACACAAGCCTAAGCGGCGCTATTATTCCTTTGGGGGTATTTTGGAGGAAGCAAAACAGGAATTCTTTTCAAGGGTAAAACTGCCTATTGTTGACTTGTATGTAATGTTGAATTATATCATGTACACTCAAGTTTTGTATATAATGTGCCTGCAGCTTATCAGTGATCTACTTCCATTTATTATAAAACAAAGAAAAAATATATTTATAACAGAAGAAAACTTTTTTCGGCTTTAAAGAAACAGGTTTACCTGAAGTTGTAGTTCTCTGGCAGCAAAGTCAAGCAAGCCACCCAACAGCCTTCGTTTAAAAATAGGCAGCGATTCCTCACGTCTACAAAACATCAAGAAGAATGAACAGCTAAAATAATGAGATATCCGAATACAAGGTGCTGAAAACAAGTATCCCTAGAGACTCTTATGATGATAGTAAATGCGACTAGATTTATTGTCAAAGTTCACCACCCTGATGAACCAACTATAGCAAGGAAGCACAGCACCAGATTAAACCCAAAAGGACAAAATAATCCCCAAAAATATGCTCCAATTGTGCATTGACCACATTTCTTATCAGTACATACCGCAACAATAAGCAGAGATCCTTTACAATATCGTTCAGGCATTGGTACAATTGGGTATCAACCACATACATATTTTCACTTATCAGTAAGTAGCATGCCACCGACAGTAACAAACACTCAGAAATAACAATATAATTCACTCTGTAATTTAGGCAATTAATAGGGAAGTCCTATAGGTAGGCTGAAAATATCAACGAAATCTAAAGTAAGGATATTTTGTACAACCTCAAAAATTAAATTTACTTGGGACACCAATTCCATGACATATGGAAGAAGAATTGAGGAAATGATATTTAAACTAAAACTAAGGAACCAGTTTGTTTATGATGAAGAAAGTGGACAATCTAAATACAATTGCCACGTGGTGGATCAGAGCCTTTACAGTGATGACTCAAAAGACAATATAGAACATCAACACAAGATATAGTGACCAAAATCATGAATCTTAGTCTATTGAACCCAATAATGAATTGTCTGAGTGATATACAGAAGTACCTTATTCGCTGGTCCCCTGTGCTAGATCCACCAACCATAGAAAGCCATTCTGCACAATGGATCGTAGCTTCAATGTCCTGTCCAAGGGAAGTAATAAACAAGCATTAATAAATGACACTAATAAACTTGATTTGAGGAAGATAGAACATCCCAATCAGCACCAGATAAACATAAATCAATAAGAATGAAGTATGTTCAAGTCCAAACAATAAAAGAAAACAACTAAAAAAACCTCATATAATTTCAAAAGCTATCACCTATACCTTTGGTTGATTACCTAATAAAGGAAAACAAAGATTTAAATACGAAAAAGAGAGATCCATACAATGATCTAACGATCTAAAACAGCTAAAGAAAAACCAGGGGTATACTAAAATTGTTATAGAATTAACCCAATGCAGAACCATTTATATATATCATGTGCACATGGTCACCCCAGCCCACCCCACCTAAAACCCACTTCCAACTTCCTTTGCCAGGTGATAATCCATTCCTTTTGTTGCATGACTTACGGTAGCAGTAGCATAGCATAGAAAGTATGTGTAATATCAAAATGTGTAGCAGCATACTTTAGAAAGTAGAATATTAGCTGCTGGAATCAAAAAGATCTAAAACATCAAGTTCAGGTCAAATTTATCAAGAAGGTTGATATAAAGAGTAACACAGAATTTTTCCTTTATTCATTTATTTATTTGGGATAGCTAAACAATATGAGACTGCAGTCATTTCACATTGACTCTATTCACATTTACTTTGGATTAGCCAACTGAAGGTAACCAGTGCAACAACAATTATTTGACACAACCTCAACCACGGATATCTACCACAGAGCACAACTGTGTCTTTCATTTGCTCATTCCCAACAAATAAGAGAAGAATACTAATAAGTGAGAAACTACCCCGCTCAAAAAAGAGATGGCAGATGCCCTCCCGAACCCTATTTAGATATGTCGCCAATTTAAGATCAAAAGGTTCTGCGATGGCACGTGTTCCAGTAGTCTCTCCCCAACCAGGATATTTAGTCAATTCCATTCTTGCCATGATAGGCTCCATCGTAATTGATACGGTATCATTTTATTAAAACTTACCCAGTAGGCCTTATAGGCAATTCAAGTTGTCAGGTGGTGATATGTGTTAGAACACTTACATGTATATATGTATTTATGCCGGGGTCCTATTGTAATTAGATATAGGGTTTGTGGCCATTATGTAAATAGGCCTTTCTTGTATTGTATAAATACCCTCTTATGTTTTTAGGGTGAATATAGTGAAGTACAGAGGGCTACGCCTCTAATTAACATTCTGCTCTCCCTCTCTATCTCTCTATCTCTATCTCTATCATACTCACAATTTCACATGGTATCAGAGCCATACGAAACGATGGGAAACTAAGATTGTGGTTGTGATTGCATCTTTGTGTTCTTGAACAAATCGAAATCGAGATCGAGGTTGAATTTGTTCTTCACCGAAGCTCTGGTCCATTGTTCTCAGATCTGTCAAAACATAGGTTCCATCATTGCGAACCATCTATACTCGGTAGTTAGGACACTTCTTGTGTTGGGTAGCCGTCGCCGCTGCCGCTGCAAGGGCTAGGGTGTGTACTAGCCTCGATCCTCCATTGTGAACTTCAGTTGCTGGAGTTTATCGCCGGTACCAGATTTCTGGTTCTCGTCGGCGGTGATCGCGGAGAAGAAGAGACGTGTTTGGTTGCAAGTGTAAAGCTATCCCCGACCCAATTTGGCGCCGACCTGGGTCTGTTCTACTCCGGATCTTCTTCTTCTGTTCCCGATTCAGTTCTCTTCTGTTCTTCTCGGTACAGATTTGGCATCAGTGTGACAACTTGGGACAGATAAGTTTTTTTTTTTTTTTTCCAGTTTACATACTCATTTACTTTGTTCCAGCAGTTTTTTTTTTGGCATTAAATCCATGTCGGAAGATTCACCTGTTGGCTCTGGGTCTACTGGAATTAAATCTTCTGCAACACATGTTGACAATGTCGAGCTGCAAATTACACCGATGAAATTAAGTAACTCGAATTACTTACTATGGGCCCAAGCAGTGAAGATCTCTTTAGGTGCCCGACGAAAGCTGAAGTATGTTACAGACGATCCTCCATCTAAACCATCAGCAACATACGATGATTGGGAAACTGATAACTATATGGTTATGTCCTTGTTGTGGAATAGTATGGAAACTTCCATTGCATCCGCCTTTATGTTTGTCAACACTACAAAGGGAATATGGGATGCCGTTAAAGAAACCTACTCTATGGACACGAATGTTTCTCGCATATATTCATTGTATGAGAAGATATTCCATTCTCGTCAATCTGATCCCTCTGGTCAAGGCATCGGTGAGTATTACAGTACCTTCAAAAGCTTGTTAGATGAGTTGAATCAGTACCATCCCTTGACTACTGATCCTGAGATTCTCAAGCGACAACATGAGGAATTTTCTGTTTCCATTTTTCTTGCTGGTCTGCACCCCAGCCTTCAAAATATTCGGGATCAAATCCTTGCTGGTGATGGAGGACTCCCATCATTGGGTAACATTTATGCCCGCTTACTTCGGGTTTCAGAACAATCACATGTGACACCCACTGTGAAAGAAAATTCAGCTATGATGATTCCTTCTATCTTTCCACAATCCTCTAGAGGTCATGATACTCCTAGTGGCAACAGAGGGTATGGTGGAAATTCGAGTAGTTCTCATGGCGGTAGTGGCCGTGATAGAGGTCGCAGTTGCCGTGATCGTGGACGTACTGATACTCGCTTCTGCAGCCACTGTCGGGGTACTAACCATTCTGTTGAGAATTTTTGGGCTCTTCATGGGAAACCAGCATGGGCAAATCAAACAGTGTCTTCCTCTAACCTTGCTCTTGGTCAGACTTCTATATTACCATCACCCGCATCTACTATTAACAGCGTGACACTATCACTATCACGAGCTGAGTTCAATGCCTTGGTCAACCGGACACATCCCAATTCTAATGATGTGGTTAATTTTGCGCAATCAGGTAATATTGCATGCTTGTCCGATTTACAGACTTCAACATCCCCTTGGGTTATCGACTCTGGGACTTCTACCCATCTCACAGGTGATGCCTCTCTATTTTCTAATTTTCAGAAGTCTAGTTCCTCATCTTTTGTTACTCTGGCTGATGGTAGAACATGTTCCATTATTGGCCAGGGGACAATTAAACTAACCCCATCCATTTCTTTATCCTCTGTGCAATTAGTACCAAATTTTCCCTTTAATTTATTATATGTAAGTCAATTGATTCAAGCACTCAATTGTTTTGTCACATTTTATCCTTCATTTTGTGTCTTTCAAGACCTCAACACGAAGAAGACGATTGGTGGGGGCACTAACAGAAATGGCCATACTATTTGGATTGCAAACCTTCCGTTATTGCTTTACATTCCCAGATGTCTATATACAAGTGGCATTGTCAGTTAGGTCATCCCTCGTTGCGGTATTTGAAGTCTGCTTTACCTTTCCTTGAGTCGGTGTCTACTTTAAATTGTGAGTCTTGTCAGCTGGGTAAGCACCATAGAGTGCCTTTCCCTCCTCGTATTGTTAATCATCTATCTTCTTTATTTGAATTAGTGCATACGGACATTTGGGGTCCTGCTTGTAACACTAGTCACTCAGGTTTTTCTTATTTTGTTACCTTTGTTGATGATTTTTCAAGGATGACTTGGTTGTTTTTAATGAAAGACCGTTTTGAGCATTTTCCATATTTCAAATATTTTTAAAAGAAATTGAGGTCCAATTTGGTTGTGTTATACGCACTTTACAATCTGATAATGCCATGGAATATGTCAAAGGTGCTATTTCTAGTTTTTGCGACTCTCGTGGGATTTTGCACCAAGCTTCTTGTTCTTATACTCCTCAACAAAATGGCGTAGCCGAATGGAAAAATAGGCATTTAATTGAAATAGCTCGGACATTGATGATACATATGCATCTTCCAAAAGCATTTTGGGGCGATGCTATTTTAACTGCTTGTTATTTAATTAATCGTATGCCATCTTCCGTTCTTAATTGGAAATGTCCTTATTCCTTTGTTTTTCCTACTCGGCCGTTATTTGCATTGCCGCCTCGTGTTTTTAGGTGTGTGTGTTTTGCCCACATATTACGTCCCGACGCTGATAAATTGTCTCCTCGTGTCTTAAGTGTGCCTTTATTGGGTACTCTCGAACTCAAAAAGGTTATAAATGTTGGGATCCAAGCACTCGTCGTACTTTTGTGTGCATGGACGTTACCTTTTTTGAGGATACTCCATATTTTTCTTCACATGATTCGTCTTTAGATACCGAGCTGCTACTTCCGTTGCCTATTGTGTCACATTCATTACCCTGTGACCCACCACAACCACCTCAAGTGCCACCGCCACTTAAAGTGTATAGTCCACCTCAAGTGCCACCGCCACTTAAAGTGTATAGTCGTCGATCACAAGCAGCACCAGCACCCCCCCCCCCCCCCCCCCCCCACACCAATTGTCTACTTCCATTGAGGCTTCTCCTACTGCTGATGATTTTCCTATTGCGTTACGTAAAGGTATTCGCTCGTGTCACTGCACACCCCATATCTAACTTTGTTTCCTATAACAATGTAGTGCCCTCATTTTCTTGTTTTTTATCCACGTTATCTACTACTACTGTTCCGAAGACTATGCAGGATGCTCTGTCTGATACAGATTGGCGCAAAGCCATGATAGATGAAATGGATGCTCTTCATCATAATGGAACTTGGGATCTTGTTCCCTTACCTCCCGGTTCCAAAACGGTTGGTTGTAAGTGGGTCTACACTATCAAATATCTCCATGATGGGTCTGTTGAGAGATTGAAGGCTCGGCTTGTTGCAAAGGGATACACCCAAACCTATGGTATTGATTATGATGAGACTTTTTCCCCTGTTGCGAAGATTTCTTCTATCTGAATCCTTATTTCCATTGCCACCAATTGTAATTGGCCGTTGTTCCAATTAGATGTGAAAAATGCATTCTTACATGGTGACTTACATGAAGAGGTTTACATAGAGCAACCACCTGGATTTGTTGCTCAGGGGGAGT